CCCATAGGGTGCCCCATAGGGCTTCGGGCCCCCTATAGCCCCTCCCTAGCCCCATAGGGTGCCCCTAGAGGGCTCCTGACCCCCTATAGCCCCTCCCTAGCCCCATAGGGTGCCCCTGTAGGGCTCCTGGCCCCCTATAGCCCCTCCCTAGCCCCATAGGGTGCCCCAGAGGGCTCCTGGCCCCCTATAGTCCCTCCCTAGCCCCATAGGGTGCCCTATAGGGCTCCTGGCCCCCTATAGCCCCTCCCTAGCCCCATAGGGTGCCCCTAGAGGGCTCCTGACCCCCTATAGACCGTCCCTGGCCCCATAGGGTGCCCCTATAGGGCTCCTGGCCCCTCTACGCCTCAGCCAATCCCATACAAAGCCCCATGGGTGGTCCCTACGTGCCCCTCCCTAGCCCCATATAGGGTGCCCCCTATAGGGCCCCCTATAGATATCCCACCTTGGCCACGGGGACGTTGTCCTGCCCGGGCTTGAACTGGGCCCTGTTGCAGAGGGTGACGACGCGGCTGAGCATGGTCCACGTCTCCGAGGATTGGTCAAAGCTCTGGCCTGGGTGGTGGGACCTCAAGGTCACCATGGGGTGGAAGGGACCTGGGTGTCACGGGGTGGGGGGTGGACCCCGGCTCACCTGATTGGTCCTCGGTGGTGTCAGCCGTATGGATCTGGTTGTCGAACCAGAGATGCGCCACCGTCATCCGGTTCTGGGTGAGGGTCCCCGTCTTGTCCGAGCAGATGACTGAGGTGGAACCCAACGTCTCCACCGCTTCCAGGTTCTTCACCACGCAGTTCTTCCGTGCCAGCCGCTTGGCCGTCAGCGAGAGGCAAACCTGGAGTGGGGGAAGTCCCTCAGCACCCTGGGGGGCCCTATAGCACCCATAGAGACCCATGGGAACCACCTGGAGCTCCCATGGTGGCCTTGGAGCCATGGGAACCTTCTGGAAAGCAGCTGGTGCCCACGGACCCGTAGGGACAACCAGATGCCATAGTGCACCCTTGGGTTGCGTTGGACCTTGTAGGACCCGTGGTTTGTGATGGACCCATCTGGAGCTCCTGTGGTGGCCTTGGAGCCACGGGGACCTCCTGGAAGGCATTTGATGCCCATGGGTCTGTAGACACCTTCAGGGCCCATCCAGACCCCACCCCTCCCAGGTTGTGTAGGACCCATGGATGCCATAGTGCACCCTTGGGTTGCATCGGACCTGTGGGTCCCATGTGAGGTCCGTGAAGACCCTCAAGGACCTTGTATGACCTGTGGTTTGTGATGGACCCATCTGGAGCTCCTGTGGTGGCCTTGGAGCCACGGGGACCTCCTGGAAGGCATTTGATGCCCATGGCTCTGTAGACACCTTCAGGGCCCATCCAGACCCCACCCCTCCCAGGTTGTGTAGGACCCATGGGACCCAAAAAAATCCCATGAAGACCCTCAAGGACCCCATATCACCCATGGTTTGTGATGGGCCCCACAGCCTGAAAAGGTCCAACCCTTGTGGTGCCCCAAACCGTACCGTGACAGTGGCCAGGAGCCCCTCCGGGACGTAGGCCACCACGATGGCCATGAAGAAGACCATGGCACGGAGGAAGGGGTAACCGATGACCATGGCCACCACGAAGAAGGTGGCGCCGAAGAAGATGGCGAGGCCAGCGATGATGTCGACAAAGTGCTCGATCTCGATGGCGATGGGAGTCTTCTCATTCTCCACCCCCGAGGCCAAGCTGGCGATGCGCCCGATGATGGTCCGGTCACCCGTGTTGATCACCAAGCCCATGGCTGTTCCTAGGGGGACCCAAATATCTGGGTGGGTTTGGGGGAGCCAAAAGTCCAGGTGGGACCCAGAAGTCCTCCTGGTGGGACCCAGGCATCTGGGTGGGACTCAGAAGTCCAGGTGGGACCCAGGTTTCCAGGTGGGATCCAGGAGTCCAGGTGGGACTCAGGTGGGACCCCGAAGTCCTGGTGGGACCCAGGAGTCCATGTTGGACCCAGGTTTCTGGATGGGACCCAGAAGTTCTGGTGGGACTCAGAAGTCTGTGTGGAACCCAGAAGTTCTGGTGGGACCCAGAAATCTGTGTGGGACCCAGAAGTTCTGGTGGGACCCAGAAGTCCAGGTGGGACCCAGAAGTTCTGGTGGGACCCAGAAGTCCAGGTGGGACCCAGGTTTCTGGATGGGACCCAGGAGTCCATGTTGAACCCAGGTTTCTGGTTGGACCCAGGTGTCTGTTTTGGACCCAGGAGTTCTGGTGGGACCCAGAAGTCCAGGTTGGACGCAGTTTGTGGGTGGAACCCAGGAGTCTGGGTGGGGATCAGGGGTCCTGGTGGGACCCAGGGGTCCTGGTGGGACGCACCTTCTAGACACATGGTGGAGAAGAAAGCGATGTTGCGGGTCTCCAAAGGTGACTCATGGGTGCACTCGGGTGACCGCGTCTGGGGCTCCGACTCCCCCGTCAACGACGAATTGTCCACCTGGAGAAGGTGGTGGCTCACACCAGGGGTGGGGAGGGGGGACACCCAGGTGTTGGGGCACCCTCCCAACCCCACCCCAAGGTACCCAGGTGTCCAGGCCCCACCTTGCAACCCTGAGCTGAGATGATGCGGATGTCGGCAGGAACCCGGTCTCCTCCTTTGATCTCCACCAGGTCCCCGACCACCAGCTCGTTGGCATTGATCTGCAACTTGTCCCCTTCCCGGATCACAGTGGCTTGCTGGAGTGGGGGGAGTGGGACATAGAAGAACCCAAGTGGTTGGGTGGGGACCCAGGTGTCCATGTAGGGAAGGGACCCAAGGGTGTGGGTGGCCCCACCTGAGGGACGAGGTTCTTGAAGCTGGCGATGATGTTGGTGCTCTTGAACTCTTGGTAGTAGCCGAAGCAACCAGTGACAACGACGACGGCGATGAGGGCGATGGCGAGGTACAGCTGGGTGGGGGTGGGGGACAGGATCAGGCCCCCAGGGTGGGGACTCAGACCTTCTGCCCTCCAGAGTCCCAGTTCCTCCTGCCGAGCCTCCCTAGTTGGTTCCTGGCTTCCAGATGCCCCCCCAAGATGGACCCAGATGTTCTCCAGATGGGCCCAGGTGTCCTCCCCAGATGAACCCAGATGTTCCTCAACCCATGGACCCATGCACCCCTCTCAGATGGACCCGGATGTTCCCTCAGATGGATCCAGATGTTCCTCAAGATGGATCCAGATGTTCCCCAAGATGACCACAGGCCTTCTCCACCCCAGATGGACCCAGGTGATCCCCCAGATGGACCCAGATGATCCCCTAGATGTTCCTCAAGATGGCCCCAGATGTTCCTCAAGATGGCCCCAGGCCTTCTCCACCCCAGATGGACCCAGGTG